TTTTTTTTTTTTTTTTTTTTTTTTTTTTTTTTTTTTTTTTTTTTTTTTTTTTTTTTTTTTTTTTTTTTTTTTTTTTTTTTTTTTTTTTTTTTTTTTTTTTTTTTTTTTTTTTTTTTTTTTTTTTTTTTTTTTTTTTTTTTTTTTTTTTGGACTGGCCTGGGACTCTCAGTGTAGACAGGCTGGCCTGGGATTCTCTGTGTGGATCAGGCTGGCTTCAAACTCACAGAGGTCTGCCTGCTTCTGCCTCCTGAATGCTGGGTTAAAGGCATGAACTACCATGCCTAGCCCAGCCACACAGCTTTCATACTGACTATGGGAGATTACACCAGAATTTTGAGCTGGAAATGGGGTATCAGAACACTGTTTTTAATCTCTTTTTTTTTTTTTAACTTTTAATTTAGGTAACATGCACCTACTATAAAATTGACGGTTTTAATCGTTCTAATGGGTGGCTCACAGGCATTGAATACGCACATACATTTGTGCGTTTACTGACTACCCATCCTGAAAACCTCCTCTTCCCCTTAAACATCAATCCCGTCTCCTGTCCCCACCACCGTACACCTACACCGTATGGTGTTAGCACGCTGAAATGTCTCCGTGACATCAAGAGATGCGTGTCTGTCTTTGCTGCCCACACTCACAATGCTGCGAAGACCTGGAGCCCAGCTCCTCCTATCTGCGCTGAGGCGCAGGCTATCAGGTGCACTTCCAGCTTGTTATGATCCTGATGTTCTTATGTGAAGAATTTTTATTTATGTGCTTTGTGTATGTATGTGTATACATGATGAGGTCATAAGAAAGCTTGCAGGAATTGGCTTTCTCCTTCCAATATATAGGCTTATATTTATCCCCTGATCAGTCTCACTAGCCCCTAGATTAAATCATAATCTAGATTTTTAAAAGGGTCATAGGCTAAGTAGCTTTATTAGAATCCAGCAGGAGACAGGTGATTAGATTGGAGCGTTGATTTATATAAATTATTTCTTTAAAGTTGATCCAGGGATATAGCTCAGTGGTAGAGTACTTGCCTAGCATGAATGAAGCTATGGATTCAGTTCCCAGCACTAAAAGGAAAACCTCAGACTCATACTTGTAATTGCAGAACCCAGGAAGCTAAGACGAAGGAATCTCTGTTAATTTGAGGCCAGTCTGGATACATAGTGAGTTTCATATTGATTATTAAAACCAAGTAAAATTTAAAATAACATAAAAATAATAATGCTTATTCCTGGGTAGACCAGTTGTCCTCTTGAAGTAGTCTCTTTCACCCCAACCCCCTTGGAAGTCATTGTGGAGGATTCTTGTGTAATCGTCTATAGTCTTCATTGTGTTCAGAGGAAAGCCATCGAGGGCCTTTCTTCATGGACCAGATTGTCATAATACAGGCTGGTTAGGCACTACTTGTTTTCTTGGGATGTTTGATAGTTCTTGATGAGGAATAGCCAAGGAACCAAGTGTGCACCAAGAAAACATGAGTTGAGGGCCATACCAACATTGCCACTGGGTCCCTCCTGTCTTCAGCCAGACCAAGCTGCTGAGGTGCTGGGTGGCCTGCTGATTTCTAGACCAGGATGGGACGTTAGCTAGCCAAGGTTGGTGAGGTACACTGGAAGGAATCAGTGCCAGGCTTTGGGAGATGCTATTTATGGAGTATTTTTGCTTCGTCTGTAGCCCAGGGCATTTGGAACTCACAGCCTGAGCTAGTGCCTACCTCTCCTCTGCCTCAGCTGCCCAGGCTCTGGGGTTACAAGCATGAGCCACCACACCTGGCTTTCTCTTTTATGTTCTTAACACAGGCACAGGAGAGTGGCCGAGCCTGAGGAGACTAGCTTGGGAAAGCAGCTCTGGACAGTGGGAAGGATGAAGCTGTGTCAGTTACTAGTACAGAGAAATCTTGTCCTGGGAGGCTGGAGGACTTGGGATTCTTCATAAATATATACACAATAGCAAGGAGCACCTTATGTGCTCTTTTTCAAAAACAAAAACAGACGATTTTGTACATGCATTCCTTTCTAAGTCTTTGGATGTGGAAGCTAGGAACTTTTCCAAAGTTGCCTCCTTCACCGCCAACTTGCCACTTGACATAGGGGGATGGAATGGAGCGGAGCAACACCTGACCATTGACTGTGGCCTTGATCCTCTCATTCTTCTCCCCCTCTCCTAAGGTCAATCCACCATATTATGTCCCACTGGTTGAGCTGGTCCCTCACCCAGAGACAGCACCAGCCACGATGGACAGAACCTATGCCTTGATGAGGAAGATCGGACAGTCCCCAGTGAGAGTCTTGAAGGAGATCGACGGCTTCGTCCTGAACCGCCTGCAGTACTCAATCATCAGCGAGGCCTGGAGGCTGGTGGAGGTGCGTGCCCTGTGTCCCTCCGTCCTTCCCTGTTCCTCCTGGCCTCCAGCCCATCTTTCTCCTTCTCCGCTGTGTCCATTCTTCCATTCCTCTTCCTTCCTTTTCTCTCTTCTTCCTCCCCTCCTTCCTCTCTTGCCTCCTTGGCTGAGTAATACAGGAGTCACTTTCTTGGTCTCTGAAAACTAGAGGACACTCAGGGTCCTTGCTCTACTCTGGAGACCCAGGGCATTCCATTTGGAGACAGAACACAACATACAGTGAGATTCCCCTCTCCAAGCTGTGATTTGACAGCAAGGCACAATGACAAACCTCTGTCCTGCCCCTTCTACAAAGGTACCTGTGTGTGACATGTTGTGTTTTCCCACAAACAGATTTTTACCTCCTAATGTGAAAACTTTTCAGGATGAAAAAGTATTCTTTTCATACAAAGTAAACTTGTACTCCCTTAAAGAATCCAGCTTATTCCAAGAACTGGGGGAAACCATGGCAAACACTAAACTTGTTAATAACAGGTTTGCCTTACCTGTATAGGTAAGGAACATGTATGTCTGTGTGCTGGGTATAACCATAGGTTCTAGGATTTATGAATTAAATTAATCACAACCTAAAATATAAGAAAGATGCATCTTTTCTGAACCTGGACAGACCTTTGCTCTGCTGTTCCCTCAACAGCACAGTACATGAGCACTGTGCTTACATTGTGTCAGGGTCACAGGCCATCTAGATTACATAAAGTGTGTGAAGGACAAGTGTGGTGGCACATACCGGCAAGCCCATCACTTGTGTATGGAGTTCAAGGTCATACCTGGTTACATATTGTGTTTGAAGCAAGTTTGAGCTACATGCAAACCTGTTCTAAAACGAACAATAAACAAATAAGCAAAGAAGTATATGGAAAGATGTGTTTAGGTTTTTCACAAATATTAAGCCATTTGTGTAATGAACTTGTCCACTAATTTTTGGTATCTGCAGGGCTCCTAGAACCACCCCACGGCTGTCAAGGGCTCACTGTAGAGATTCACCTCATCCTCTAGTTACAGTAGTTTACATATGAGAACACTCATGGATAAACATGTTCTCACGCACATTGCTATGAAGGTTCGTGGCCTTTGTCAGGAGAGAGGGCAGAGTGGCCCAAGGATATGGAGGTGAAAGCCATGTGGTCTAGGAGTCAGAAGCTCTTGCCAAGCTTCACATGGGTCAAGCATACAGCAGCCATATCCACACAGGTCATAGCAAAGTGTTCAAGGGGCTGCCTGGCTCTCGGGTAAAGAGGACAGTGCTTGGCGCGGGCCATCCACACTGGGTGTGGCCTCACGGCTCCTTGTAGAACTCGCAGGACGGGAACCAGGAAGTCTGCTGCACCGCAGCTTTAGTGGGTGTTATATTTCCTGTCAGCATTTCCTCCCGACTTCAACAGGTGTGATGGCATATGTGACTCTCCCAGTCGGAGTCATCATGTGACCCCACTTACCTGTGCCCTGGGAGTGCTGTGCTGAGTCAGCCTTTACATCTGCCTCCCACTCTACACCTGCAGGATACATGCTGGGAGCCCACACTCCTTGAGTAATGTCTTAGAGGCCAACCAGTGTCGGTTGTCTTAAATCCTGCATTTAAAACCCCTTCTTTGAGGTCTGTTCACTCCGTGTTAACTGTTTTCTGTTTGCTTGTTGGTGCCTGGAGTTAAGTCTTGGTTAGTTTACTCGAATAAAGTTGTGAGCCAACTTCAGAAGGAATGTAGAGACCTGTGCAGGACTTAGGCAGGGAGGGTGCACAAAAACTGTTTTTGACCACGAAGTGATTGCCGATGGGAAGATGTGAGCAGGACTGTGTATCTCCTTGGATTGCTGAGGGAAAGCAAACTGGGAGGAAAGCTGAGCTCACTGTCCTGCAAGCTCCTCCTGGTTTGTGCCGTCTGCCTTTTTTCCAGGAGTTCACTGCAGGCAGAATGATGGGTTTCAGGTATGATTACCTCCCAAGAAGGCAAGTGTCCAGTGTGCCTCTGCTGTGGACATTCATGCCTGGACTGAGTGCTTGAGTCTGGCAGGTACAGTTGGTGTCGGCAGGAAAAAGCCCGGGCAGGTTAAGGAACAGTGACTAGAATCCAAAGTCTTGCCTTTCGAGAATCCCTGCTCATGGACCAAAGTGACCTGAAGATCGTTAGGCCTAAACTGAAGGCAGGGGCTCTGGGCTCTCCACGTGGATCTGGAGCAGAAGGCATGCGGAGAGCATGGGGGTGGGATCCAGGGCTGTCCTTCCTTTCACCATAGCAACTTAGCAGCGGCTCTTTAACGCTTCTCCCAGGACCTCAAGCAGATTCAGTGACCCGGATGTTGGCTCTCTGCTGAAGCAGCTGCTGGCATGGGCTTCTGGGTGCTTACATGGACCCCTTCCTTTCTGCAGTGGAAAAAAGCCGAGTGATAGATAGGCTGAGGTGGCTCTAGAGAAATCCTCCCCACAGTCACTGTGCCAGCTACGGGACCCCTCTCCCATAGAAGGCGGAGGTGTATCTGACACTGTCTACTGGGGTTGACTATTGTGTACATTGTTTTAGGACAGTCCATGCTGCCTGTGGCCTGGTTTCTCTTCAGACACTTCAATCCAACAAAGGTTGGAAAACCTCTCCAAAGCCCCACCCTCCTGCTGCAAACCTGCTCGATGTTCCCTGGTCCAGGCAGGAGTTAAGTGACTCTGACGCACTTTGGACAGAGCCATATGAAGCTGAATTTACATTTTGGGGTGTTTCAAATTGATTGGGGTGTTTCAACTTGATAGGGGTGTTTTAACTCGGTTGAGGTATTTCAACTTGAATTGGGATTTTTCAAGTTTGCTTCCAAACTTGGTAACTTTAATATCAAAAAGAGCAGAATTGAGGCTAGTCACCAGCCATAGGAAATCTCCCCACTTTCCCTCCCCTTTCCTTCTTCCCCTCCCTTCCTCTCCCCATCTCTTCCCTCCCTTCCCCTTTCTTCCTCTCCCTTCCACTCCTCTCCTCTCCCTTTCCCTCCCTTCCCCTCCCCATCCATTTCTTCCCCTCCCCTTCCTTCCTCTCCCTTTCACTCCCCTCCTCTCCCTTCCCTTCATTTCCCTTCCCTTTCCTCCTCTCCCCTCCTGTCCTCATCCCTCCCCTCCCCTCCCTTTCCTTCCTTTCCTTTCCCTTCCCAATTTCCTATTCCCTTCTCTCTTCCTCCCATCCCCACACTCTCTCATTGGCGTTTGTAGGCAAGGTCATTTAAAGAAGTTCAGTCTGGTCTGGAACTCATCATACAGTCTGTGAGCCTTGAACTACTTGATCCTCCTTTACAGGCAGCATAAGGTCTGGCTCAAAGCTTCTCTTTACACATAAAGCCTGGGCTGGGTTCCTCACCTGGCTGGGATGCCTGGCACTCAGCCTGGACTTCCATATGTGGGGTGGGTTCCCCACTCTTCCACCTCCTGTGGGTGCTCTTGTCCCCTTGTTCTCTAGACTCACTAAGCAAGTTGGAGGTGGGAGAGGCTATTTCTGCCCCCCACAAGCTTGGGGCACTCATTGGTGGAGGGAAGCCTGCTAGAAATGGACCCTCAGAGCATTTTATTCAGGCACCCTGGTGCTAGGTCAGCAGGCCTAAACAAGTAATTCTCTTCCTTGTCGCCTGTGTGACAGTGGCTCTGAGCAGATCCAAGCCAAGTGTGACTGTCCATATCCTGCCCCTAAGTTAGGGTCAAGGCTGGGGTAGGGCAAGTAGTGGGCCTGGGTTACTAGCACCCAGAGTGATGATGTTTTGAGGCTGATACAGACAAAGCAGGCGGAGAACTTCTAGTGGCTCGCTTGCTGTGATTCTGAGAGTTGCATTGATTTCTTGGTGGGAGCCAGCCCTGTCTGGAATAACTCTCCCTTGCTCGTGTAGTTTACCTTTTAATGCTTTTAGCCAGGCAGTGGTGGCACAGGCCTGTAATCCCAGCACTCAGGGGGCAGAGACAGGTGGATCTCTGTGAGTTCGAGGCCAGCCTGGTCTACACAGTGAGTCCAGGACAGCCAAGGCTACACAGAGAAACCCTGTCTCAACAAACAAAAACAAAAAGTGTTGCTTTTAATTGCTAATAATTGTGTTTAGTTGTGGAATGCACAGTGGTGTTTGACTCTCCATTCTGTCCTCCATGTTTGCACGGACGCCCACTCTGCTGTGGTCTGCCTG